CAATAACTTCAACAAGACGTATAAGTATAATGCTCAAGAAAACGATTTTTTATGACCAAATCCCATCAAAATTCGAATATAAAACCAATCTCGAACTTATGCCATACTGATTATTTTCTATGATAATCAGAACCGTGAAATTCATGTTGTTCCCTAGCCCATATAGTACAAGGAAAAAAGACATTTACGGCTAGTTTACCACGGTTCTGAAGGCACAAGGCTACTAGACCACGCTCTTAAAAGAGTCAAGACTACTGCCTCACAGTCCTAGGAGAGAGAAGACTATCACGTCGTCATGCTAGAAGAAACAAGGTTACCGCTCCGTAGTCCTAGAAGAGACATGGCTACCGCATCTTTGTTCTAGAGGATATAAGTCTACCGCACAGCTGAAGCGACGGAGTGAACTATACAAAAAGTTGCTGTTGTCACGACGTTTTTCGGGGAATTCTTCAACAATCCCTTTCATCACTATGCTACATTATCATATGCAGATTGAATCCATCAGAATTACCAAGATTCTAACTGTCGGACTTGTAGAAACATAAGTCAGGTATAACTTCATGTAATCTTGAAATCTCTTTAAAAAGAAACTGGCACTACCTCGATAGCATTTTTGAAGTATCTCCGGCACCGCGATGGTTTTAAAATAAAAGTGAAGCATCCGTGTCATTGACACTATTGTGATCCCAGTAATGCTGTCATGGTCATCTGCTATGTATCCAATACTCATATCATTGTTCGATTAATCATTTTATTTTGAAAAAAAAACATAAATTAGTGTCAACAAAAGAAGTATTCAAACAAATGTATTCATACATAAAATAATAGTTTTTATCTAACACATGGTTGTTACTCCTAATAAAAGACTTCGATTTAATCACTATTCTTTTGTGGTAATTGTGTCATGGTTGGATTAGTAAATCGTTCAGGTAAAAGCATTTTTAGAAAAGTTACTGTGTTATTTTCTTCTCCTTCTTTATATGGATCATCATTTGCAATCATACGAGCAACAGCTTTTGCACATAAGAATCCGTTTGGCATTCCATTGCCTAAAAAAAACAAAAAAAAAGTTTCATTCCCAAAAAGACAAATTGATTATTTACCATTATAA